AAAAAAAAAAAAAATAGGAAACCTAAGTCAAAATGGGAGATAATCCATAAATCTTTATATCTGCTTCATATTTAGCAAGTTTGTGTATGCACAGGTACATGAGGCAGATATTCTAGACATTTATTTTCGAGAATAGTATTTAAATTGTGCCACGAAGGCTTGATTCGGCAAGGATTTAGAAATTCTTAGGCATTATCTGACCTTTCTACAATTCATTTCTTCATAGAGTTACAATTTTTCTTTTCAAGCTGGTACAAAGTTTTTTCTCGGTAATAAATTCTTGGAGATATGAAATGTGTTTATATTTGTGAATATCAAAGGCTATTCTATAAAACATAGAATGAAATATTAGCAAAGCCGATTTTGGGGCAGGGGGTACTGGGGATGGAACTTGGGACCTTGTGCTTGCAAGCTAAATGCCCAGCCCTAGCAAAGCCAAATTTTAAAGAGTGAAAATAATTTGTGTAAGACATTTCTTGTTGGATTCTTGGTCTGACAGTCATTTGTCATATGTTTCAAACTTAATACATTTGTTAGTTGTTTTCTATTGTTATTATTATTATCTATCCCATTGTGTTCAGACCTAGATGTGCTGGTGCTGAGTTGGTGTTTTACTCAGAGGTGGGTCTAGACCTTTAGAGTGGCTCCAGGCTCAGCCTTTCCTTCTTCCCTGCCCCTTGTTTGGTTGTCTTTTACCTGAGATCTAGCACAGAACAGGGGCTGGAGGTGGGTGGAGGAGACACCTTCCCTTCTTTCTCCAGCCTTGTCCTTAGCCACGTCATGCCTCAGTACTAGTTTTCACTAATTTCATCTGTTTTGCTTCACTGGTTTGACTTCCTTTAGTTTAAAAAAAAAAAAAGCTTTTTAGTTCTGGTCCCCATTACCTCTGAAATATTTAGAAAATGCTCAAGTATTGCCTTTTGCAGTTAAATAATGCATTTAAAATTATTCAAACATGAGAAAATAACTTTAGTAACAAAAGTGTGTAGTAAATAGTTTTTTCTCATCCTGTGCTCCATTCATGTGATATCTGTTCATTACAACTAGTTTTTTTTTTTCTTTAATCCTTACACTGGGAGGATTTATATATTTCCATCCTTTATTATATAGATGGTAGTGTGCTAAGTACCCCTTATTTATTTATTTACTAAATTATTTAAGAGTATTTCTTCATGCCTTTCCACAGTAGTTTGCAAAGATATTCATTAACAATTTTCAGTATCTTTCAGTATTTGAAATGTAGGATCCATTTTCTTCTATCATGCAGCATTACCAATGTTAATCTAATTTTTTTCACTTCATTCTTTTAAGTTCTAGTAATTATATTAGAATATGTGCTGGTTATTGTAGGTT